TACTTCTCTTCGCTCTGCGACTAGAAAAAGGCTTCGTGCCAACCGGGGCCTAGTAACCATTGTAATCATTGATTGTAACCATTACATGAATATATAACCACCAGGGTTTTTTTGTTTATTTTGTCACCAGGGTTTATAACCCATTTTGTTAAGGATTTTTCACTTTTTTGCTCATAAAATTGTTAAATGAAGGAATTTCGTAAGACAAAAAAATTCATCACTGACAAATGTGTTTCTCCACCTCCTTGCCAAAAATCAGCTCGAAATTCGGCCTGACGGCCGAGAAATCGGCTGTACAGAAAACAGACATACTTTTCTCGCTTATAGGATAGGATTTGTTTTTAATTTTCATGATTCGTGGTTACGATTTTCGAAATCAGCGCAAAAAAACTACCCAAGAAAAAATGTCATCATTTGTCATCACCCATTTGGGGAAAAAGGGCGTTACCGTTTCAATTTAGACGAAAGTCTGTATGAGTATCTGAACAAAGAAATTTAGAGATTGTGAGATTCAGAGATTCTGAAAGTTCCACAGCGTGAACAACTGGCATTTTCCTTGACATTTTGAACGGCGTTCATCGTGTGCCAGCCCACTATTTCTCGATCGCGGTTGTATTCGACCATTTTGTGCCATCAACTATACGATTTTGGAATGTGCCCATCTAAAAACGACCCACGGACCGAACATTTATTCCAGGCCACTCCTTAGCCACACAATTTCTGTTTTTTTCAATTAATTCTGGCCGAATTGGATCCCTTTGTTACGAAAGTTACTGGCGCGGGATTGTGAAACGTATGAAAATCGAAACGTTGTAAAATAATATATAAAATTATGTACATGGGTCGACGCTTGCATGCGCCGCATTAGCCTGGCTGGACATCTGGGCTGGCACCCAGATCAAAATTACACGGGTAAATAGCAAGAATTAAAAGGCCGTTTGCCGGAGAGCCGAACTAGGCTTGTCACAGTTTTTAGACCCCGTTTTTTTAATCCCACGTGAAAGAGCATGGTCGAATTAGTAGGGCTGCATAGTTTTGAATGTTTAAAAAGTTCATTTTTGGTGTTTAAATGGCCGTTAAAGTTGACACCTCCAAAAACTATCTCGAAAACTACTTGACCAAATCCTACCTTATATAATTTTGGAGTGTATCTGTGTGTGTGTGTGTGTGGATGTCACTTTCGAGACCCGATTTGAGGGCCTTCCCGTGCATAAAATCCTCTGATTCTCCGTCACTTGGGGAAATCGACCCTTCTGTTTCCAATGGCGCTTTCAGAATTTTGATAAAATACAAGTTTACAAAGTTAAAGCCGGTTTTACTCATTTTTGGGGGTAATTTGCATAATGTGAAAAAAATAGAAATTTCTTCATTCTTGCAAGTTGCACGCGCGCGTGTGCTGGGCCGGGGGAAGGGGGTCCGAAGGACCCAGGCTATCGGAAAGCCAAATTTCTTATGCAAAGGCCGCATTCCAGCGCCCAAGGCCCGCGAAGCGGGTTTTGGGCGCTGGTTTGCTGATAATTTGTGACAATACCTAATTTGGGGCGGTGATTATTTTTCTAATACATTTCAAAGCATGAAAATGGCCGGAACATCGATATCTCGCGTACACAAATGAGTTTTTTAAGAATTACTATTTAACCAGGGTTGAAAAGCCGCTTCGCGACTTTTCAACCCATTTCAACACACAGACACTATTTTTTTTATATATAGTAGGATTACAAAAACAAAACTGGCGGTGATTCTGATTCTGAATTTCTGAAATTCCTCTGAGATCTGATTCTGAAATCAAAACAAATTCTATTTAAATGATTTCCATTTATATCTGTTGCGCCGCAAAATTCGGCCGCAATATTCGCGCCGCAAAAGTACGCGCCACAAATTTCGGGGAGCCTTGTCAGCACAGTAGTTAACGTACTACATACCAGACTTTTTTCTCCCGCTTGGAAGGTTTGGGACCCCCAGCTATATTCCTACCTTATATAATGTGTGTGTGTGTGTGTGTGTGTGTGTGTGTGTGTGTGTGTGTGTGTGTGTGTGTGTGTGTGTGTGTGTGTGTGTGTGTGTGTGTGTGTGTGTGTGTGTGTGTGTGTGTGTGTGTGTGTGTGTGTGTGTGTGTGTGTGTGTGTGTGTGTGTGTGTGTGTGTGTGTGTGTGTGTGTGTGTGTGTGTGTGTGTGTGTGTGTGTGTGTGTGTGTGTGTGTGTGTGTGTGTGTGTGTGTGTGTGTGTGTGTGTGTGTGTGTGTGTGTGTGTGTGTGTGTGTGTGTGTGTGTGTGTGTGTGTGTGTGTGTGTGTGTGTGTGTGTGTGTGTGTGTGTGTGTGTGTGTGTGTGTGTGTGTGTGTGTGTGTGTGTGTGTGTGTGTGTGTGTGTGTGTGTGTGTGTGTGTGTGTGTGTGTGTGTGTGTGTGTGTGTGTGTGTGTGTGTGTCTCTCTCTCTCTCTCTCTCTCTCTCTTTTCCCGTGTTCAAAACGGCCCAATTCTCCGGCGCCCTGGGGAATCGACCCTCCTCTTTCCTATGGCGTTCCCAGAATTTCGATAAAATACAAGTTTACAAAGTTAAAGCCGGTTTTATTCATTTTTTGGGTAATTTGCATAATGTGAAAAAATACAAATTTCCTCATTCTTGCGAGTTGCACGCGCGCGTGTGTTTGGGGAGGTCCGAAGGACCCGAGCTACCGGAAAGTCAAATTTCTCATGCAAACGCACCATTCCAGCGCCCAAGGCCCGCGAAGCGGGTTTTGGGCGCTGGTAGAGAAATGATTCTCATCCCAGGTTAGGCCTAGTCACAAGTCCTCTAATTCGACCATGCTCTAACAAATGGTATCAAAAAATCGGGGTCGAAAAAACTGTGCTAAGCTATAATAGGAGCTGATCGAGTGACCCGCGGACGGCTTTTTAAATACTCAGAAGGCCCTGACACAACCATGCCTGGAACCAGCAGTGACGAGAACCCGTGCGTAAAGCTCTTTGGAAATCGGAAACTATTATTTCGTTTTTCTTGGACTACAGGATGACTGATAAGTATTCGGAATGACTTTAAAATGGCCCGACAAAAAAGCTCCTTCAGTTTTAGGACTTTTTTCTTTTTTATTGTGTAGGACACGGTTTCCGAGAAGTCTTTTACAACTGAACTTGAAACATCTGACCTGCTGAGAATTTTGACATACGAGAATTAGACTTTCATCTAGCGGTCAGACACGTTATTGGCCGAACTTTAAAGTCACATATCTTGAGAAAGAAATGTTTTTGCAAAGTTTGCTTAACTGAAATTCCCATGGCTCCAGACGCTGAACATTTTGACATATTAAAAAGCTGATTTGGTTGGGAGACCGGGTTTTTGGATGTTTCGATTTAGGCCAATTTTCGGGATCCGGGATTTTAGGACGAAGGATCTTTGGCCTGCCAAAAGCATGGATCAGAATCTATTGGATTTTTCTGTGTGTGGATTCATAAAACAGAAGCTACGAAACATAAAAGTCAACGATACAACCTATTCACGTCGAGAATTGACCAAGATTTTGAACGAATTGTTTAGCAAATACCCGCGGCGCATAGCCAAGTCAGGGCAGTCATAAATTAAATCATGTATTAAAGCGGGTGTGGGCCACTTTGAAAACTTGTTACAAAAATGAATATTTAGTATCTATTTGTTATAAAAATAAGCCGCTGTTATTAAATTCGGGTTTACTTTTGTCGCTATGACCCTCTACATACAACCTTTCAGGGACGTCTTTCAGCGTCTGGAGCCATGCCACCCCTTTCACCTTTCAGGGACGCTCCTATCTGAAGTTACGCGTCCCCTGAAAGACACTTCCGGTCCCGCTTCCGGTTTTATAATCGACCAGTGGATTCGAATTTCATTGACTTCCGGTTATCGAATTGGGGCGAATACTTGGGTCTCTACCTGCACATCCGGTGAAGCCAAGATGCGAGCTGAACTGGAATAAACCCATAATAAAAAGATCTAATAATAAAGGTAAAGATAATATCGTCAAAAAAATCCTACCACAAAGCCTTTTTTAGCTCAAGAACCTGCTAAACCTGGAATTCCCTCCCCACTTCAATCGTCTCTGCTTCATCATGTGAAAGTTTTCGTAAATCTATAGCCAAACTCATTCCGGTAGATTATGTACTATCATAACCATTATATCACCATGCTCCTATTCCTCATCATTATTGTCTTTTTTCTTTCTTTCTTGCTAATCCTTTTTTCTCTTTCTCGTTTTTGATACCATATTCCTTCACTTTTCATGCGTTTCTCATTGAAACCTTAGGAATAAATTATTATTATTATTATCTATCAATTCGGAAGATAGTCCAAGAAAAACTGGGAGCTAAAAAGAGAACCCCCGAATGCAGCAGATTGCGAAATAAACTATGAATGAACGCTGACAGGCCCGTAGGAAGAGGGGGGGGGCAACTGGGGCAAGTTGCAATTCATAAGGGGGGACCCATATGATTTGTTTTCCTGAAAATTTTTTTGCCTGCGGCGCTTTTTATAGTTGTTTTTAAGACTGTTTTTACTGTCTAGGCCCTAAGTTTTTCAAAAATTTTCGCCTGCGGCGCTGTTTTTGATAGTTTTGATACGTTGCCAAAAAATTTTTTTTGCAGTTACCCCACCCCCCCAAAAATCGGGGATCGCTACGGCCCTGAACGCTGAACAGTAGCAGCGACTTGAAAGGTTAACTGCATCGACTTGAAGATGATAAAGCGAGGTTCTAACACCCTAGAAGTTTCAACTGGCCGTGCAGAGACAGCTAACAAAGAGGCAGTCTATAGTGCCGGACGACCATTATAACCTGCTTCATCGCCTGTAAATACGAAATTCACCACAAAATTGCTCCCCGGCTATTTTATGAAAAATTCTTGTCCGAAAAAAAAGACCAGAAACGAGAAATTCCGCCCTCGCATGAAACGACAGCAGCAAGGGGCGGAATTAATCGGCATGGGTGCCGGCTATATAAAAAGCCTGATGGAACCTCCGGCCCAAAAAGTCATTCAGGATGTGGCGCTTGCTCTTGCTGATCGCTATATGGGATTCACCCTGGATGTAGGTCCCGCTTTATCTATACAGTCGCGTTCCAAAGTTTATAGAATAGTTTGTTTTGACCAAAACTCAGCACTCGTTCGCATCAAAAGTCCTATATTCGGCAAACAAATACATAAAATTGTGCGCAATACGATCGTAATACTCGGCTTGCTTTTCGATTTTCGAAAGTCATAATTTCGAAAACCAGGTTTTGGGAAGTCGTATTGTCGAAAAGTCATGGTTTCGAATAGCAGTTTTCCGAAAATCAGAATTTTGAAAAATTTGCATTGCTATTTCATGCCGTTTGCGACTATTTCCTATTGATAACTGGACGCGGATTTTTGAAAATAGGACTTTCAAAACTACGATTTTCAAAATTACCGTATTTCCTCTAATATAGCCCCCCCCCCTCTAATATAACCCCCAAAAAAAATTTTTTTGAACTTGCCTCTAAGAAGTAAAAAATGTCAAAAACGTTTTTGTTTAAGCTTCGTACTGCGTTTTAATTATAGTTGTGAGCAGATTAAACTGCTAGAAAGCGTTGTAATTGCTCAAAATCACGAAAAATATATCCCACCCTCTAATACAACCAGGGGCGTAGCCAGAAAACAATTTCGGGGGGGGAAAATGTTTCCAAAAAACTCAAAACACTAACAAGAAAACAGGGCCGCAGGCAAAAATTTTTGAAAAAAAGTTTCCATAGCTCTACAAATAGCCGTAAAAACGTAAAAAAATAGCGCCTCAGGCAGTAAAATTTTTGAGAAGATAAAAATCACCAGTCGACATCAGCCGCTTCGCGGCTGCTATCGACTAGCCCTCCCGGGGGGCAAGGCAATAGAGGGTGCTTCCCATTCTCGTTAGTACAGGGTGTCCCAAAAAAATTCCCCCCCCCCCCTAGCCGGCCGCAGACCTGTCGGATTTTTACGATTTAGGTATCTATCGAAAGCTCTCGGAAAGGCGAGTCCAGCACGTCTCTTCGATTTTCATAATTTGGAAATTTTTCCATCAGTTACTAATGTTTTTGCGAAATGGGCGGATTTTCTTATGTTGTTCTGACCAGGGGTTTTTTTACAAAAATCGCAATTTAAGAATTTTACGCCTTTACTGGCAACCCAACGACAGCTTTTTGAAAGCGGTTGCAAAAACACAGCTTGGACAGCGCTTAAACCGGTTAAATTGCGTTTTGAACAAAAAAGTCTGTCCTTTAATGCCGAAAATCGAGCAAAAAATTCCGACATTTCGCAAATCCGCAAGACGTGCTGGACTCGCCTTTCCGAGAACCCTTTGAAACAACGTTAGATCCTTTCATCCTACTATATATAAAAAAATAGTTCCTGTGTGTGTGTGTATGTATGTGTGTGCATTTGCATGCAATTTCCGTCAGCGTGTTCCAGAGGTATCGGATTAGGGGAAGGACTTAAAGGTATATATGATACGTCATTAGATGCGTAATGGTCTAGGGAGGACTGCACACATATCAACTTTTTGAAAATATACTGTTCTCGACATTAAAATTCAGTTTTTCTTGAAAAATTGGCCACCCCTCTTTGTTAGGAAAGGATTAGCATGCGCCGGAAGTGGCGGAAGGCTATATAACGGAGAGAGGCAGCCTTTTTTCATTATGATCGCGATTCGCGCGAATTATGCAAAGTGTTGAATTTCATGGTTTTGGGACGGGGCCAGGGTTGAAAAGTCGCGAAGCGGCTTTTCAACCCTGGTTGATACTAAAAAAACATCTAAGAAACGCGTAATGGCTAGAATACCCCTCAAAGAAAGTTATTTCCCCTTCTTAGATCCGAAAAAACATCCATTAAACGCGTAATGGCTAGAATACCCCTCAAAGAAAGTTATTTCCCCTTCTTAGATCCGAAAAAACATCTAAGAAACGCGTAATGGCTAGAATGCCCTCAAAGAAAGTTATTTCCCCTTCGTAGATCCGAAAACACATCTAAGAAACGCGTAGTGGCTAGAATACCCCTCAAAGAAAGTTATTTCCCCTTCTTAGATATTAAAAAACATCTAAGAAACGGGTAATGGCTAGAATACCCTTCAAAAGAAAGCTATTTCCCTTCTTTGATACTAAAAACTACTTCATAACTATATCCCTTCTTTAATACTAAAAAAAAGCAATAAAAACCGTTGCGAAACAATTATTCTGTTGTTTGGGGGTTTCTGCTACCATTAATGCGCGAACGGCCCCTGTGACCTCTGGCCCCTCCCCCTCTCCCCGGAACATGCCCTGGGGGGGGCACGTTGAATTCCTGGACGGGCGTACGGACATTAGAAATTTATATATAGTACATAGATAGATAGTAGATAGTAGATAAGGGTCCCCCCTTACGAAATTTTCGGGCCCCGGCCGATTTCGGGGGGCGGTATTACGCTACGTCCCTAAATAAAACCCCCTCCCACGGGGTGGTTTAAAAAATATAACCCCGGGGTTATACAGGGTGTCCCAAAGAAACCCCCACTACCAGGCCCGTAGCGGAACCGAAATTTCGGGGGCCCAAAAATTTTGGCGACCTCCCCCCGTCGCCACTTTTAAAACATCCGAAAATCGCGTCAGTAATAGCGCCGCAGGCAAAAAATAGGAAAAAAAGCGTTCGCTACACTCAAATTCGTGTGAAAACAAGACAGAAAACGCGCCGCAGGCGAAAAATTTTTATGACAATTGATTCACCAATGAAAAACTGCGCCGCAGGCAAAAAATGTTGAAAAAATAGGCTTCATATAAGTAAAAACTGTTTGAAAAACAGTAATAAACAGCGCCGCAGGCAGAAAAATTTTTGTAATTAAAAATCATATGGGTCGCCCCTTATGAATTTTTCCGACCTCGCCCGATTTCGGGGGGGGGCCCAGGGCCCCCTGGCCCCCCCCCCTCCTACGGGCCTGCCCACTACCCAGCGGCCCGCAGTCGTGTCCGATTTTTGCGACTTAACTATCAATCGAAATCTCTCGAAAAGGCGAGAAAACAAGGAGGGTTCATTTTCCAAGATTTAATCTAATTACTTCAATATTTAAGCTTATTCTAAAAACTGGTACTTTTTCAACAGGAATTTTGCAATTAGCATGCAGATCTTGCATAAATCAGCAGTTTTTATGATTTTTGGACCTAAAATTAGCGCATAAAGACATAATAAAGAAAATGAACCATCCTTGTTTTGTCGCCTTTTCGGGAGCTTTCGATAGATACCTAAAGCCAGGCGCGTAGAAGGGGGGGGGGCAGCGGGGGCAGGCTGCCCCCCCCGAAATCGGACGGGCCCGAAAAAAACATAAGGGTCCCCCCTTATGATTTTTTCATCTTGAAAATTTTTTCGCCTGCGGCGCTGTTTTATTACTTTTTATTAATTTTTTTTGCCTGCGGCGCTTAAATTTCGAAAAATTTTTCTTGCTGCCCCCTCCGAAATGTCGCTGCCACCCCCCCGAAACTTGGGGCCAGCTACGCCCCTGCCTAAAGCTTAAAAATCGGACACGACTGCGTGCCGCTAGGTAGGGGGGTTTTTTGGGACACCCTGCATTAGAGGAAATACGGTATGTAGGCAAATTCTTTTCAACCCTGGGCCCGTGACAACAACTTCAGCAGGAGGCGGTAGCCAACTTCCATGTGTTTACCCCACACTTGTCTAGCGATAAAAAATTGTGTGTTTT